TGGATGAAATGAAGAGATGTTGCTAGGTTAGCTTGAAGCACAAACCTTAGGTAGAAAGACACCTTTGCCCTTACTAAAGCTGGAAGAATAAGGAAACAAGGGAACAACCCAATAAGCATAAGGTACAACCCTTTGACCTTGAATGACTAGTCAAATTCTAGTCCTTCGACTATTGAATTTTCAGGATTTTTAGGAATAAATTAACAAGGAGACTAGGATTAATTCTCTAATTAATCCTTGGTTAGAGTTTGGATTTACGGGGTGTCACATCTTAGCCCTTCACTTACTCCGAGGGGTGGTAGTCAGGGGAAATTAAGCTGATTGAATTAATTCACTTTGTCTTTTATTTAAGGGCATGAGAATTTCTAAATAACCGAACTAAATAAGCGATTCTACAAAAAGGATAGTTTACAGGGGTTCACAGTTTATCCTAGGCAGAATTCTTCTTCCAGATTCTCCTCCGGTTGATTCGTGGGGTCCTCGTCCCCGAGAGCTAAGTTTTCTGTGTCGATGTTGGCTTCGTTTCAAGGTTGGCCTGGGTGCGGCTAATGACGAATACCTTTCTGGGAGTACCGTAGTTCCCTTTGTTATTCGCGCTCCCTTGTTGACCCATGACCGTAGGGCTTGTGCTCGGGGGCCGAGTGCACTGGAAGGCCTTATGTCCTTCTCCCCCGCAGTTGAAGCACCGCAAGGTGTTTCCAAGGCAGTCCTTTCCCCTATGATCCTTATTGCATCTCCGGCAAAGGAATGGTCTCGCGTTGGTTTCGTTGTTCCTCATAGACGATCCTTGATTAGATGTGTTAACCGTCATTTTGTTAGAGTCATTCCTTGCTCTTTTCACAGGCGGTTCCCCGCCCCCGGTATTCCTCTTGCGGATCTGTTCCTGAACTCCTCGTTGTAGAAGTTGGATCTGGTAGAGGTTGGCGGCGCTGGTTCGGGGTTTGCTTATGATTAGAGCCTTTCGGGCTTTGAAGTTGAGGCCCGTCACAAACTTCTCTATCTTGGTCGTTTCTGTAGGCACCAATTCGGGCGCGAAACGAGCTAGCTCGAGAAATCGTTTGTGGTATTCCATGACCGTGGCCATCCCCTGTTTCAGGTGGAGGAATTCCTCGTACGTGGCTGCCCTTATGTGCGCGGGGTAGAACCGTCCCCGTAGTCGCAGTTTTAGGGACTCCCAGTTGATCCCTGGTTCTTGCCTACAAGCAGGTCCTTCGTGGACCCCCCAAAGGTCGGCTTCGTGACCGAAGTAGAATGAGGCTATTTCTACACGGCGTCCCTCCGGGCATTCTACTACCTCGAAGATCTTGTCGAAGGTTCGGATCCATTCTTCGAGGATTGTGGGGTCTTCTTCTCCTGAGAAGATAGGAGGGCAATGGTTCGAGAATTGGCGAGCTATATCTGAGTTTCCGTTGGCTGGTGGTGGTGGTGGTTGGTTATTGTTATGGAGGATAGCGTTGCTTAACGTCTGGGCGACCTGAGTCAGTTGCTGTAGATTCTGAACTAGAGATTCGTGAGCGGGGGGTTCAAGGGTCTTTGACTAGTGCTGTCAATACGGGCTGGCGGGGCGGGGCGGGCCAAAGCCCGGCGGGCCGCGGGCCTAAACGGGGCGGGCCAAAAAAAGCCCGCTCCTTAGCGGGTCTGGGTTTTGCTGGCCCGGACCGCCCCGCCTTTGGCCCGCGGGCTAGACGGGCCCCCGCTCCAAAACCATTTTTTTTAATTATTAATTTATTGGTTATTGTTTTGTTTTGCTAAATTTATTCAACTGGTATTCTAGAATTTAACATAAAAAAAAATTAACATAATCCACTCAATTCATTATTCACACACAGAAATGATAGAATCCACTCAATTCATTAAACTTTCCCACAGCAACACACAATTTAACATAAATGCAGAATGCAAAATAATTTAACCAAAGTTGGAGTCTTGAAGAGTGGGACTAGGGTTTGTTGTGGACTTGTGGGCTGTGGCGTCTGGACTCTCTATTCTATAATAATATCTAAAGTACTAAAGTGTAAATATTATATATAATATATAAACATAAAATTAAAAAAAAAAAAACAGGCGGGCAGCCCGCGACCCGCGGGCCTAAATGGGGGGGGGGGGGGTGCAAAAAAGTCCGCTCTTTAGCAGGCTTCTATTTTTGAAACCCGCCCCCTACCTAAGTAGGGGCGGGGCGGGCCGGCCCGGTGGGCTAAGCCCGTTTTGACAGCTCTTGACTGACTTCTTGTTGGCGCCATCCTGGTGGTCTACAGGGCCAATATCGATCGTAATGGTAAGTTAGCGGTTTGCATCTTACCTTGATGCTATAATTATGGGAAATCCTTAAGCTAAGCACAAGATAGAGTGAGGAGAAGTTAAGTAGAGAATGATAGATAAACTCACAGCCTCGCCGCGCATCCTAAGATTCCTAAGTCCTAAGTATTCAAGCACCTGCAGTTACGGCTTTAGCATCTTAAGGTCTTAACTTAGAGTACTATCCTAGATGCAGCTTAGGTTCTTAGAGTTTTAGTCTTAACACCCCAAGTATATACCTAGAGTTCAAGCTTAATGTCCCAAAGTCTTTGTCCTAAAGGCATTGTCCTAGGGTCGAACTTAGGCTCTGATAGCAACTGTAACACCCCTAAATTTCAAGATATTTAAAACCTGTAAAATAAAGGCGAATCCATTGATTTAATTCCCAAATAGAGCATAATACTATCCATAAGAGTCAGGGTGCTATGCTACACCTAGGTTTGAGAACCTAGGTGCACAGGCTAAACTAATCAAGCAAAAGAAATCCTCAAATCAATATTTAATACAATCCTAAGGCATGCAGGCCAACTACTGAGCTAAGACTAACTAAACTAAGCCAAGGCTCTGACTAGCGCGCTCAGAAGCTAAAGCTCATCACCTGAAAAACATTCGGTATAACAACCGTCAGCGAATAATGTGGTAACCCACTCCAACGGATTAAGTACAATATAGGTAGATATAAGAAACTCATTTTGAAACTGGAATACATATATACTTACGAGAATCTAGTTTAAATCCAAGATCAAGACTCAAGGCATAGAAATAGACTCAATATCATAGAATAATCATAATAAGAACTAATAAACACCCTAAACATGCAATGCAAGACATAACAGGCAGATAAGTATGCAAATAACTAAGGCATTCAATACAATCAATTTGCAAGTAGGCAACAAAGCACACAATTCATCCTCCAACCTTATACCAAGTTCCAACCGTATAACTCCCCTCCATCCTTATATCAGTTCCGACCTATACTTCTAGGCCACCCTTATATCCCCACCCCTTATGCCTTCCGGGTAACTACATGCCCCCACCGACGAACCCACCTTTCAACCACCAACATATCAAGATGGTGCCGCAGTGCCATTCAATGATCCGCACCTCTAGTGCCAATATCAAGGGGTTAGCGCATATAGCTCTAACATGACACCGCAACACTTATAACCTGACCCATGCCTAAAGCAAGAAAGTCGAAGGTGGGTGTGTGCCTTTAGCACAGTCACCGCTATAGCCTGTACCTTTAGTACAATGACCGGGCACAAGTGGTACCAACCGCCAACAGTTTATTTTCGACCAATCACAATCTCATAATCACATTATCATCATCATTAGTCACACTGGCCATTGCGCAATGACCCCAATAATCATTATCATGAATCAATCAACACATAAGCACATAACAAGCAAGACACAACAACAACGACACGTATCACACATAAATTCCTAGAACGATGCCTAAAACACCAAACAAGACTCATACACGACAAACGGGGTACAACGGGACACGGGGAAACATCAAACGGGGAAAAACACCACGAAGCACGCCGGGATTCCAGTGCGTAGGTGGCGGGTGGAGGACCACCCGCCAGTCACCCGTCGGCGGCCGGTCACCATTCCAGCGGGTGGTCCGCCCTCCGGCTGCCCGCTGTAACAGTGTTACGGGCAGCGAGTAGGTGGCGGGTGGTCAATCCCCCCCACATACCCCCAACTAATACACAGGCAACTTTGGTTCCGGGATCTTTCATGGAACCCGAAACCATGTCCAACCAAATTCAAACACATAATGACAACACCACGTATTCAATTAACCGAATTAAACCAAGAATCACAACAAATATGTCCAAACACGATTCCTAAACATGCCAGGATCTAACATCAATCATATAACGGTTCAGGAGCATCTAGAACCACAAGAACATCAAGAACTCTGTATGAAAGTCCTAAACACAAGTCCTAGGCTAAACTCAACACCCGATCATGCAAAATCCCACCCAAACATACCAAGAATATCATAATACGAAATCCATGTTATAACCCTAGGGCTCTAGACATAATCAAAATATAAGATCGTTCATATAATAAATCATCGTATCAAGAACATCAAGATTATCACATAAGCATCAAGATCAACAGATAAACATCAAGATTATCACATAAACACAATATAACCCTAGGCAAAGCTGTATCAAGACTCAAGCACAGAATCATATATCAAAGGAGCCAAGGAATAAGATATATCAAGGAAAATAGGTTTTGTTGAGACATGGGTTACCTCTTAGCCTTAATCAATATCCTTTGGCTACTAAGGTTTTTTCTCTAAGATCTTCTTTCTATGGATTCTCCTACGTTTTATGGCAGAGAGATTCCTCTGTAGGTTTCTCTCTGGGAATATCTTGTGTGGTAGAATTAACTGTCGTAGGGTTTCTAAAAGCTTCCTAAGTCCCTATATATAGATTTAGGAGCCCCAACTAAGGTCTGAATAGTAAGGTTCCACTTATCCTATTTCTTATAGGATTAAGGATTTGGTTTAAGGATAAGGGTCCATGATCCATGGTGGGCCACATCCCCTAATTAAAGGGAATCCTAACCAAGTTAAATCTTTTCTAATTATTATTAACGGAATCAATTAAATAATTAATCCAGGATTAAGGGTCGTAACAAGGGGTGTTACACCACCTCTCGATCCTGTCTTTGAAGAAGAAATGAAGGAGTTCAGACTTGCTCTCTTATTATCCAAAGTCAAAACTGAATTAGAGAAACTCCATCAAAATGATCCAGCTTGCAATGTTAGCGTATCCAAGGACGAGAATGGGAAAGTAATTGAAGACGATGATGCAATTGAGGAAAATGTTGACACTGAGGAAGTTACTGTAGAAGACGAAGATAGCAATGAGGATGACCCTGCTACGAATGATCATCCTAATGAAGAAGACAATGAAGATGTAGATAGTGATGAAGAAAACAACGATGACGAAGATGGCGAGAATGATAATAAGGAAGACGATGATGGTGATAACGAGAATGATGATAAGGAGGATGATGATGGTGATAATGATGATGATGATCACGATTCAGATGATGATGATGATGATGATAATTCGGACTATGATAGTGAATCTCCTATCATAGGCAACATCGAAATCATACCCGAAAGATCCCCCACACCCCACTCATCTTCTCACAAAGAGAATCCCCTTCGTGATCCTTCCCCTTCAGCACCTCCACCTACAAACAATCGGATTGTTGCAAACCCAGCGAGTGATGGCAAAATGGAAGCATCACCACCAACAACAAATCAATTGAATCCGAAATCACCTCGTGATGGAAAACTGGAAGCATCACCAAGTACGAATCAAGTCATTCTTGAACATAGAAATGTCTTTCGTGAACCCAAGAGCATCCACCCCGACTCGGGCTTTCATGTCGAATCTATTGAACCCGAAGACATCATGCACCATCTGTTGACCACAATTCAAAGAGTCGAGCTTCTGCATTAACTGTATTCTGTTCACCGAAGGCAAGTTAGTAAAACTTTGGAAGATCTATCCACCAAAATGACACAAGTAATGGCAGCCCTATCTTCCATTCCACGGCAACCAACTCCTTCCACAGATCCTCACGAAAAGATAGGAGCAGAACTCCACTGTCAAAGTCACCTACTTGACAAGATTGCGAAAGAACAACATTCCCTCAAACTTTCTCAATTTGGCCTCAAAGAGAGAGTTGACCTCGCATGCACGAAAGTTGATTTAGGACATGACAACATATACCGAATGGGAGAATATCAGCTCCAAATTCTTGAATATGTCAAAGACGTGCTGAACACAGTCAACAGGTTAGCCAAAACGTTTGATTCCCCATGTGCTGATGCCAAAAAGGGGGGAAAAAAAGAGAAATGATGATGATGAGGATGAAAACAGAAACCAATCCCCGTCTCGTCCAAATGAACCGAGAAGAAAGAATGAAGGTAGAAACACTAAACATGATGAAGGAAGAAACACGAGATCTTCACCTCTAGTATCTAGGTCTCGACAACAGCCTTCCTCAAGATCCAGATAACAATCTATTAGACCTCGACAATCTTTTGGATCTACTTTTGAATTCCCATTTCGTGGACTAACGTACAGAGAAAAGAAAATCTTTTCGATCTACTTTTGAATTCCCATTTCGTGGACTAACGTACAGAGAAAAGAAAAATCGTCGCCAAAAGCTGATGTGAGATACGAAGGCAACCATGGATGCTACAGGAAACTTCGTTACTTACCAAGTATGAAGTAGGAAGTGGAAAGCGCTTTGAAGGATATAATCTACCGGTATGGTTGAAAAAGAAAGACAACTACTCTAGACAAACTTATCCAAAGAAATGAAGAGATCAAGAAAGCAAATCTAGAGTTATGGAACAAACAAGAAGAGGCGAGACTTGCAAGAGAACATGAATTGCTTGAACGCGAAAGGATAAAAGAAAAGATAAAGGATGTGACAAAGGTTGGAAAAGATGCTGAACCTGGAGTGAAGTATAATGCCGTCTTCAAAATTCACACATAATCAGGAAAGAGCTACACTGGGGGAATGCATTCGTTTGAGCTCATTACTTGGTGGAATCATAGCATTATCGAAGGAGAAAACATTCTTGAAGCATATAACAATTATGTGAGCTGCAACATAACTGGAAAATATGAAGACCTCGTGAAAGAAAATCATATCCAAAAGTTCAGGACTTTGATCAACCGAGATATTGACATGGATAGGATGCTCAAGGAACAAAGGGAGAGAGATGACAGAGAACGAAAGGAGGATCAGTTACAAAAAGCGAAACTTTTAGACATGTAAAAGACCTTCGACTTCGTTTTTCTACTATTTTGTAAGTGTTTTTGATCTTTATAAAAGATATCTTTTGTCCAATCTACCAGGACCAACAACCATAAATGATCCATTGACTATTGACCTTTATCAAATTTCATCATTGACTTTCAATTTAATCATAAATAATTCATTGACTATTTATTTTCACTACAAGAAAAATGTACATAGACAACGGGTTTTAACCGTTGTCTTAGGGTGTAACACCCCCGTTTTCTAACACTAGAGACAAGTTAGATTACAAGCTTAGACAACATAATAAACACTAAATGGGGAATGCTACCGCCGTAGCCACCCATTATTGGATGACTATCAGGCTAAACTATTAAGATCCTAACTTAATCAATATCAAACAATAAGGGTTAGACAGGCCCAAACTTCCATTCATTAAACAACCCACAACTCAACAAAAGATTAACTTAATTAAAATTTCATAACCAATCTAAAAGGTTAACTTCATTAACATCTAATCAAGTCTACACCAAAAGACTTAAAGATCACATCATTATCAACACAACACTAGTCTCAAATGGTTACTAACTAAAGTCAAACTAAAGTAAAAGACTATCAAGATAAAGCCTCTAAACGTGCTCTCGTCATGCATCAATCCAAATCAGAAATGGGTTATCAAGAAAACAATGGAATAGAACCCACTTAGCATAAAATGCTAAGTATAAACCACTCAACCCTGCAAAGTAAATATAAGTTTGCAAAATAGTAGTTTTGGTATTTACACATATCAACACACGTAGGATCAAAGAGGATCACGCAAGTATAGATATAGATAAGTAACATATTTACATATCTATAAGTATATATAACAAAGATATAACCACTACTACCGAATTCACATACAACGTCGGGCTTTTAACGTTGGCTATATATATAGCCGACGTTAAAAGTTTTTTCTAATTTTTTTTAAAAATATATATATACAACGTCGGCTATTAGTTAATAGCCGACGTTATATGTTACAAATAAAAAAATAAAAAATTAAATATAATACAACGTCAGCTATTAAAATAGCCGACGTCATAAGTTATTTTATTTTATTTTTTAAATTTATTTAACCCTATGACATCCGCTATTAACTAATAGTCGATGTTGTAGGCTTTCTAAACCCTAAACGCAAAGTTTTATTTTTTTTGATATTATGACTCATCTTCCCCGCCTCCACTGTGTCGCCCTTCACCGCAACACCCTTCACCGCCACTACGACACGTTGCCACCGCTCCCCTAGACACCGGATGTCGCCGCTACCGCTCACCGCGACACCGCCCAGCGTCACAGCCATCGCCACACCTCCCACCGCCCAAGCCTTCGGTTCGACGCCTCGAGGTTCACCCGCACAGCGACAGCCACCCACCGCACAGCGACAGCCACCGCGCATCTCCGCCGCTTCCCGTCGCACCGCGACACCGCCGCCTGCCTTCCCGAATCTCCGAGGTTCGACGCCTCTTTTTTTTTTTTTTTAATTATTTATTTAAATTTTCTAATTTCTAATTATTATTTGAATTATAATAAATATATTTGAATTTATTTGGTAATTGTATTTCGAATTTTTGGAATTATTAGTATATATTTTGAATTTTATAAGTTATTGGTTATAAATTTGGAATTATTTTAATGCTCTGTGCTTGTAAATTATGGTTTTGACTTTGTAAATGTTGGTTGTAGGTAAGTAGGACATGAATTTGTTTTTTTTTTTTTTGGCTAATATCACTTTAAAGAGTGCTATGACTGCTGTTGCAAACTTGACATCTGACAACCAGGAGAATAGTTTGCTTGGCCAAGTAGCAAAAATGATGAAATCAAATGCCATAGGATTAAACGAAGTGTCAGGCAACCTCAGTACAGTAGTTTCAGCTGATATTTTGAAATGGGCATCTATTGGGGCATCACGACTTTCTGATGTTACCACTCTTGCTGTTTGATATATGTTTATATTTTCTCTGGTCTTTTTCTATCCTGGAGTTGTTGCTTTAATTCAGTACACTAGAAGAGAACCTTTGACATTGGGGAGATTTTATGGAATTGCTTCCATTGCATAAACTATTCCTTCCCTATTCAGGCAATTTGTGGCAGCAATGAGACATGTGATGACTATGATCAAGGTTGCTTTTCTTCTTGTAATTGAACTTGGGGTCTTCCCTTTGATGTGTGGATGGTGGCTGGATGTTTGTACCATAAGGTACACTAGAGGAGAACCTTTGACATTGGCTTTTCTTCTTGCTATTCTTTGTGTAATATTTTTGTTTAACAAGACCATTCTTTTGTTTGGCAGTGTGTCAGATCCATTTACTGAAATTCATGCTGACATTCCTTTTGCCATTTGTTAGGTTTGTGTCTGGACCAGATTGAAAAGCATGAGGTGATCAAAGTGTGAGTAACTCTTCTATAAAATTTGTTTTTGTTTGTCATCTTAAAACATGTTTCACAATGAGGCTCTTTTTGGCTGTTCACATTATACATTAAGGTCATTTGGTAATAATTGATATGTTAAAGGATACTTGAATGCCTGCTTTAATCAAATCTAAAAAATTTATGTACACATTTGCCCATACAAAGTTGGTTCTGTTATTGTCAATTACGGTATCCCCATGTACATTCTTTTCCTTCAGTAGGGCCATGCACTTTTTGAAGTTTATTGAAATTCAGAAGTAATGTGAATTTACTTGAAAAATTGAACAGATAAAGGTATGGGATGTAAAGGTACAGAAATGTTTAAGAGCATTGATGGGCCATACTGGAAGTGTGAAATCCATTTGTGTTCATCCTACAAATCACAGTATGCTCATGATTTTACTCCCCTCTTCACTTGAATCCTATTTTTCTACATTTAACTTTCATCCAAGGGGTCTGTCCTGTTTCTATAAACTTATTTGTGTGTCTTATGACAGATGTTATTGTCTCCGGTTCAAGAGATGGGTCCTTTGCTCTATGGGATTTGAGGTGCAATGACAGCAGTGGCCAAAGACTTTGTCTACAGTAAGTACTGTTTCCCTAAGAGCTTGAGGATTACGATTTATGAATACTAATGGTGTACAAGAATGTTATAAACACAATGCATAAAGTTTTTGCATTACAAATGAACAGTCAAGTTCAGGAAAGAATAACATATTTTATAAGGCCTTGAGTCACTTTCAGAGGATTTGAATGAATTGAATCAATATTCTATCTTTGTTCAGATTAATTGCTATGGTGCATGAGGCTCATATTTCTCCTTGTCAAAGGCGGGGTAGACGTAGAAAGGTTTGCCATGACAACTTTTCTTACATGATTCACTTTGTTCTTATATTTGCTAATATGATTTTATTCTAAGTAAGCCCTATTTATTTCAGGCTTCTTCTATGAGCATCACATCTGTTCTGCATCTAAAGAATGAGGTCTCCATAGCTACTGCTGGAGCAGTTGACAGGTGCCATAGAAACTTTGCAATGATAACTTAAACAATTAGCACTCAGTAGTAGCTTATCATGTGATTATCCATTGTTATTTACTAATTCTTATTTCTTGAAATTCCAGTGTAATAAAGTTTTGGGACACAAGGAGTCTGAAATCTCCTATCAGTCAGGCATGCCCTCATTCTAAAGGGTCAGCTGAGAAGGTAAGTCTTTAGCTGCACCATTAGCTTGAAATTGGGGATGTTCTTGTAAGCAAGCTTTTATCGATTCTCTCTCCTTGTTTAGGAAAGAAAGCTGCATGGGATATCTAGTTTATCTCAAGATTTAATTGGAGTCTTTATCTCTGCATCTTGCATGGGTAGCAGGTATTTGATTTTGTAAACATGCAGTTTCAGCTTTGGGCATTGCCTTGCATTTAATTATTTTAATTGGAAATTCCAATCCTTCTAAAATGTCTTTCAGAATATACCTATACAATGTACTTCAGCTAAAACAAGGGCCAGTGAAAACTTTCTCTGGATGCCGAATTGATTCTTTTTTTGTGATGGTTACTTTTTAGTTCTTACTATTTAGACTATAAGAAAGCTGCTATATATATATATATATATATATTCTAAAGAGACTGATGCCAATTGATGCAATTGCAGTCATCAATAAGCCCTGATGCAGCTCACATATTAAGCGGCTCTAGTGATGAGAATGCTTACATATGGCAGGTAATTATCTTCATTCTAAACATTCCATCAAGGGATTGTTAAATGTTAATGTGATGGTTAATAGCATTAGATCATTCAATGCAGATAAGGAAACCTCTTGCAGATCCCATTATACTGAATAGTCATGAAGGAGAAGTTACAGCAGTAGATTGGTATGCCTTATATCTGAGTGGTGTATTCTTGTACATGGTAGTGTCTGTTGGTATATGTTAAGTTGTTAACATAACTAATAATACTACTGTAGGTGCCCATCGGAGACCAAACCATATCATTGTTTTCATTTTCATTTTTATTTATGATTGTTTTCAGTGCTCTAAATATTTTTTAATATTTTTTTTTTATTTTTCCATTACATAACACATCATTTTTTTTTTTTTTTTTTTTTTTTTTTTACAAAAACCGACGTGTTATGTTAATTTTTTTTTTTAAATTTAAATACATACGACGTCGGTTATTTATTAATAACCGACGTCGTATGTATTTAGAATATTTGTTAATATACATACAACGTCGGCTATTTGTTAATAGCCGACGTTGTATGTTTTAATAATTAAAAAAAACAATATACGAAGTCGGTTATTTATTTAGCTGACGTTGTATGTTTTCAATACAACGTCGCCCAGAACAACGTCGCTTTTTAGCCGACGTTAAAAGCCCTATTTAGCCGACGCTAAAAGCGTTCTGTGTAGTAGTGAACCCAACTCACACTCATGCTTCGACAGATAATAAATACTCACTAAACACAACTTATGCAAAGATGCAATTATAAGAGGATGAGTAAATAAGGGTAGGTATACTTGAAAAGCAATAAGAGTGGAAAGAGATGCAATACTGTCTTTAAATATCCAACGTGTGTAAAACTAAGGGGTTAGATAATAATAGAATTTCAATGGTAATCATAATTAAAAGAATTATCAAGATAAGATAGCCTTTAGAGATATAAGTAGAAATCATTTCATATAGATAATCTCAAACTCAAGAAAAATATCATTTCCTTTAATAATAATACTGGAGGTAACTGAATCGATCTCATGGATCATAACTGTAACATCAATGATATCTGAATCATCATCATAATGGTGGGGAGGTAGGAACTTCACCATACGTGAATGAACCTATTTGGGCACGGTTATACATAATCGACCTAATCTCAATCTCGCACACAAAATATACATAATGAAATCAGGATCGTACCTTAAGTGTGCACACCCCTAACTAAAATTCCAAGCCTAACGAGTAGTATCTAAGCCCTAGCAACCCAGGATTTTTCGACCAAGCTACTTCATACTATCCAGGATTTTTCGACCGGACCAAGTTCTATTTTCTTCCGAGGGAGCAAAGCTCCAACGGGACTTCCAAAATATACATTTCCTCATCCATTTGAAAACATAAATAGCGTAGCACTTTAAAACATTCCTTCCAAAAACGGGTTTCATACTTGATACTTAATCATAAATAGGATATAGATATAGCATTTGAAAATAGGGGAAAGGGATATGTGATGGAAATGCAAGTTGCGTTTGATAAAAGATGAGTAATAATGTACGTATGCAACACCATAGCTAAATATTTATATATACATATTTGAAAAGGGGATAATTATATAAGAGAAGGTTTTCAAAACAATATGTATTTATTGACATAAAAATCATAAGTTTGGAAATAGGGGAGTAAGATATCAAGAATGTCCTAACACAATGAATGGATGCTCACATACTTTAAATACATGGGATACTTAGCAAATCATGATGAATAATTTCCATAAAACATTTCATGTCATAAAAAACACATAACGGGTTCAATAATAATGACTTACTCCCATCTAAGCGTACTTAACACTTTTGATAACTCAAGCTTGAATCACACTTAGGTTAAAATGATGGTACATGCTTTGTTTTGAAAATGGTTTACACATAATCATATTCAATATTTTTTACCCGGACACATCAAGTTCTGAGCCGCACAAGTCACCAGACCCGCGAAAACAAACCGTGGGCGGACTCAAAAGTGGCAAAAATTCCCTTCTGCCAGGGCCCTAGACCTTGCTGGACTAGGCGTTAGGGCTTGCAAGCCCTGCCGCAATACCCGCGTGGTCATGAGCGTGAATGGCCTTCACGCCCTGCCATAGTTCACGCAGGGTTGCCCCCGTACCTCCCAGGTATGCTAGGAAGCCTTACTAGAACAAAAAGAGAGGGTGAAGGCAGTAGCCTATTCTTCTCTGTTTCACGCCAAACATCATGAACAACACACCAAATCAACAACAAAGCATTCCAATCATAAAATTATCATAAACCTATAATAAAAACACTAGCATAGCATCAATATGCACCACTTACATCACCCACAAACACATTATTTACCAACATCATTACACAAACAAATAATATCAACATTTAGGGTAAAAATAATAGTTTTGGGTTTCCATGGGTTATAACTCAAGCTTCTAGCCTCAACAAACAAGAATTCCTCCTCTATAATCTCAAGCTTGGTCTCCTTGTTCACCATCTAAGACTCCAAGGCCACATAACCAAACACATATACATAACATACACATAATGATGTTATCACATCTGTGCTTGTTTTTATGGTTATTTTGAATCATCACAGTAATTAAGCTCTTTAATTTTGCTTATTTAATACATGTTTTCCTTGCTATTATCATTTAATTATGGTTCGCACTTGTCTTGAATATTTTACGGTGTTTGTTAGTGTTTTTGAACCATTTTAGGTCAAAGATATGACCAAGGGGAGTTCAAGGATGAGTTTGGAGCAATTTTGGATGAGTTCGGGGCCCAGTGGACTCGACACGTCGAGACTTCCTGTGCGCGAATTAATTAGCTACTGGAAAATTTCGACGTGTCGAGTCCCCTACCCCCACCTACCCCCCACTGACTCTTTTCATCAAAAAAACGCCCCGGGAACCTTTGTGGAACCCGAAACCATGCTTAGACACTTTCAAACGCAATTGATAACACACGTAGACAATTAACGGATCAAAATCAGGAAACAAACGGCACATAACCTATCATGCTTTTCTAAACATAATAAATACCCAATTATGCGAATTCCCACCCAATATACCAAGAATAATTCCATACGATACAACCTAGGGTTCTAATCAATTTTAAATCAACAAGGTCACGATTCATCTTCTAATATCAAGATTCGGTAAGAATATTATATAAACATCAGGAACATCCTACAATCATCAAGAATGTCATATAATCATCAAGAATGTCATATAATCATCAAGAACACCATAATTATCGGGAACCTTTCATCATCAAGATCACCCATGGAATTATCCCATCAATCATCAATAATAACACAAATCATCAATACACAATAATATGGGGAAATCCTAAGAGGGGAATCATAGCTATGAAAATAGGTTTTGTTGAGACATGGGTTACCTCTTAGCCTTAATTAATTCCTTGGCTATGAAGGGTCTTTCTTTAAGCTTTCTTGCTTTCTTGATTTCTTCTAAGGGAATTCTTGGAGCTCTTTGGGAGGGTGGAACGTTATTGTGGTGGGGGGTTCTAGGTGCCTCTTAAGTCCCCTATTTATATATTTAGGAGTCCTAGTTAGGAACTAATATTATGGGCTTGCTAATTCTATTCCTTTTGGGACTAAGGATTGGGTTTAGGGATAAGGGTCCATGGTCCATAGTGGACCATATTAATTAATTAAAGGGAATCCTAATCGTAGTCTGAATAGTAAAAGGCCTACTTCCTTTATTCCTAATAGATAACTAGGTCTAGGATTCCTAATTAGAATCTGAATAGTAAAGGGTTTACTTTCTTTATTCCTAATAGGCTTAAGACTCTAATTTAGGCAAGGGTCCACAGTTCATGGTGGACCTTATTAATTAATTAAAGGAAACCTAACCGAATTAAATCATATTTAATTATTATTAACGGGATTAATTAAATAATTAATCCGGGATTGAAGGCCGTAACACGGGGTGTTACAGTCTCCCCCCCTTACAAGAAGCTTCATCCCCGAAGCTTGGAAATCATTGCGGGGGTAACGAGTCCAAAGTAGTACGATGGTCCTATAGCGAAAGCATTCTACGGGGAAACTGTATAATTGTATGTTTATGTGTGCTGGGTTTTTGGGAACGATTAGGTTTAAAGGGCTAAGAGAGTGGGTTTCAAACCTGAGGACAAAGTGAATTTAGGAATTAGGATCAAAGTTTCCAAGGTTGCAACTTAGGGTGTGAGGTTGCCACCTTGCATGGAATCGTTAAAATAGGGGATCAAGAGTGTGGTTGAAGGGTAGAAAGGGTTTTGAAATAAGGAGGGGGCCGATTTTCCGAGGGAGGGAAGGGAATTCGGCTAGGATGGGTTAAGGGTTCTCGATCTTCAAGTGACTATTCTGGTTTAATGCTTTGATAACGATGTATTAATGAACTGATGATCCTTCTTCCTTGGTGTTGGCACTTGCTTGACTTTAAGATCCTTGTTAGACCTTGCTTCCCAGGCTAAGGTTTCATTCTTCTCCCCATCTTGGGGGAATCTCCCGTGATGATTTAACACTTACTTCTTCAATGCGTCCAAGGTCTTGACCAAGTTTGGTCAACCAAGCCAATCTCTTAGGGCGCACTTCCCAAATTCTTCCCAAAGTTTCTTGGGAGTCGGTAAACCTTGGGTTGATTTTCCCTTCTTATTGGATTTCATCTCCTCTTTAGTGAATGAAATTCTTAGTAAGACTTCATGTCTTCCCCGAGGTTCGACTAGTTGTGCCTTTTTGTGTTACTTTTAATGGTGAGGGTGTCCTTGCATGCTCTTTTACTTTTTGAAGCGCAGTTGGTTACCTAACCTCGTTGTGGAATGACTCGGTGACTTTACGAGTCATCTCATTTCCTTATGGGTCCCTTGAGATCTTGGCATAAATGTGCTTTTTTACTTTTTTGCCTAGCACCATGGACTACGTAGTTCTTGATTCCATACAACTTGTAAGGAGTCCTCTGATTTGCTTGAATGATATCCATGGTTTGAAGGAGTCCTGGTCCATCCTTAGCATTTTGACTTTTAAGATCTTTGTGAGTCCTTAGCACGAGTTCCCAACTCGCCTCCTTGGTTTGCACAATCCTTTATGCCAATCATCCCTAGTCGGTTGCATCGTAGAGTCCAACTTCAACCCCACGTGTAATGCAATTGGTTGTGCTTTTCCGATGGTGTGTTGCGTGTCAAGGTCTTTTACCGATGACACCATGTTTGAGCGACCCATGGTTCTTTACCCAAGACTCGCGTTCATCAATCGAGGCACACAAGTGCGCCATGAATCAATAAAGTGA